ACTGTAGCGGCTCATTCATGCATCCTGCGGTGACTTGAAGGCCGTGGAAGACGTTTTACGAGACATGGCGAGTCAAGGTGTTGCTACCGACAGGATGTTCTTTGACTACGTCCTCAACGCACTGTACGGGTCGTGCGGTATCGACATGTGCTTCTCGCTCTGGCGTGAGCTGAGTGCAAACGAGCTGGCGATTCCAGACGGTCTGTACATCTCGCTAATTGATCTCGGCACCACGATTGGCTTGGATTGAGCGCACGGTGCATATTGCGTACAACAAGGAGTGCGAAGGCTACCATCTCTCATCAAGCAGCTGTACGCGTTGATGATGCGTTGTCACTCGGACGGCGAGATTTCGGAGTTTGTGCGGACGTTTGTGCTGTTACACCAGGGCGTGCCGCCCCAGACTCCGCGCGTTGAGGTGGAAATGTATGAAGATTTGATATCGGTGCTGACGCAATTCAGTCGCAAAAACGAAGTCCCGAAAGTGCAGGAGCTGGCTAGATCAGTGGGGTGCACTGATTTGCTTATTTAAGCATATTTGTTGGTGCGGTTGGCCGTGCCGCGCCACGCCGCGCCGCGCTCAAGGCATATTTACCCACAAAATCATGGTGCGTATCGTTCTTCTTTCACACGGCATTTCATTGTTTTTTGTTCCATCTATGCTAATGTCCGGTGTCGACGTACTGCTCCAGATGCTTAAGCAGGGGTTGGTAGAGCTTTTCGTTGGCTTGAACAGCCCAAACAAAGTCCAAATGGCTAAAGCTGCTGATCTCTTTCTCATAGACAATTGTGCTGGACGGCAACGCAGATCGTAACTGATCGATGTCAGCTCGAGTGGCGAAGATGTCGTTTCCACCAGTAAATAATCCAGTGCGAGGGTACTCCATGCTGCTGATGGGAAAATCTGGTGGGTCAAAGCTGCCGTACTTGACTTTGTTGGTGCACCTGTTTTTGGACACAGGTGAATGCCAAGCATGCGAGGACATCTGCAGCCATAGTCGAACGCTGAAAAGGTGTTGTCGCGGATGCTTTGGGCATAGTGGTGCATACTCTTGACGGAGGTTCCTGAGGGCACATTTGAAGCGTAATCGCCTGTACGAGGCGTTCAAGTTCTCCGTAGATTTGACTACGAGTGCAAACCCCGAGGCGCACAATTCCGGACCCATGTGACATGCAGCCGGTCGAATGATTTTTTGTAGCAACGCGTTATGCGAAAAGAGCTGGACTTGACCGGAGGCCTCGAGGACCTTGTCGAAGTAGGCACGAGCAAGGAGCTTGAACGTCCTCGAATCTGTATTGCCTAGCCAGGCAACAGGTCCCAGAGCCGCACAATAGGACACGGATCGAGCGAGGGTCTGGTTTTTGCAGCAAACGCAACGAATGCCTGAGTTGACCCCTGCGAATACCCTACAAGAGCCAGTGTCTCCCGTCCCGACGTCTCCAGAGCATAGTTGAGCATTGCTGGCACGTCAAACTGCCCATGTCTTTCCACAAAAGGCCCAGAACGCAGTGTCTTTGGTCGTGTACTTAGCGTGGCTGGACGAGTACGTATTGCCGCGATTATTCCCAAGCCAGACATCGTAGCCAGCATCAGCAAGCACGTAGGCGAGACTGTGGTTCCGGGAGTCGCACACCCATGCGAAACTACTGGCCACCATTTCATGCTGGACGAAAACAGCTGGTTTGTTTCGGTCTGCCTTGTCGTTGTTGTTGGCATCTGCTTGGCTTTCTCTGTACGACATTGGTAAGCGATGCATGGAGAGGATGTATCCATCTATTGTCGTGACATTGTGCGTCTCCACTACGTAGCCACGCGCTTGAACGAGCTCAACAGTGGACTTCCCAGCATCTGGATCGAGGTCTAGCTCAGCTGCCGTGACTTTGTCGAAGTGCAAGAGCGAGTGAGTCAAAGCAAGCAGCGCGAGTTCCGAGCACAGGACCACGAGGGCTTTGTCTCGAGATGAAAACCTTCCGCAGTGTTGACAGGATGACGTTTACGATAATGAATGTGCGGCACCAAATCACGCGAAACCGAAGAATACACAGCACAGATTCGTGCACTTTCGTTCGCCTTCTGTCTTGTGGTCTTCCTTGGCGTCTCCTTTGTCATTTGCACCTCATCAGTTGTCGTCCCCTTTACTGCCGCCGACTTTCCATCATTTGACTGCTACAAGGGCTCGATGATCCATTCAATTGGGCGAGCAGCACCTCTGCTCAACGTCCGCTTTGTAACCGTCATCGTAATCATCAAGTTGATTACTCGTGTCGTTTCGTTCACTGCCATAATCAGCCCAAGGGCTCGTCTGCTGCTGCGCGCGACTTGAGACCGTGTTTTCTGTCGAAAATGCCACATGTGTACGCATTTCGATCAAAAATAGAATCCGAAGCGCTCCCGCGGCAACTCTTAACGTCGCATAGGTGATAGGATATCAGAGACTAGTGACTGAATGTAGAGAGTGCTGACATAATGCAGAGAGTGCTGGCAGGAGATGACGTTGTGCAGGTGTTTATTGTACTTATTTTGACTACTATTTTATAGGTCAGGTAGGTAAAGATGACGTGAGCCATGTAGTCGGTCCTGGGACGAGGTACACGAGATGACCAGACCTCAGTGTAGAAGAACAAGTAAGAGACTGCAGGAAGTATAGACGCTTGATGGGTTGAACAAGCATGGAGAGTATGCCTGCTTGGTGAGAGAAATGCGTGCTTACTCGCACGTCGCAGACTTGGGTCGGTGCATCTCATAGGTCGGAGCAAAGGCATGAGCGAGGATGACTTCATTCTGAAAACATCGACTTCAGCAACACTCGAGTCTTCAACACAATCGCGTTAACAACTTCACCAGCTTGAATGATCATGGTGAGAGTGTGATTCATTTTTCGATCTATCATTTGATTTGTTGCTGACGTTTCTCTTCTGTGTGCATGTGTTTACTAGTGGATTAATATGGAGATCCAGAACTTATACAACCTCGTTGAAGAGAGTATCCGTCATGTACTGAGTGTGCTGTCGGAGATTGCTTCCAAAGCATGCGGCATCTACGAGAAGAGCGTTAGTCCCACTGAATGGGACTTCAACCAGCTCACCAAGCTGCGCTCAAGTGATGAGAAGCACTGCACCATTGAGTATAGCCACGCACTACGCCCGCTAAAGGGAGCAAGCAGGCACAACAAGTGCCGTGCTACCCAAGCAGGTACGGCAGATGCCCATCCGGCGAACAGGTTCAAGTTGAAGCCTATTTGCAACGAGATTAATACCAACGAGTTCACACAGCTCGTTGCTACTCGCGATCCTGATGAAGATGGTGAAGATAGGACGTGGTACAGCCGGACACTGCTCCATTTAAAGAACAAGCGCCAACGCCAATTGAGCCACTACGATCGAGCCGATTCGATTTGTTCGACCAACTCAAGTGTTGACTAGTTTACACTTACAATGTCTTAGCCCGTAGTCTAGCAATAAACGTTTTTAATATATCCATCTATCTGTTAAACATGGTCCGCGACTGAATTGATGTTAACAATAAAAGCATACTCAAGAAACATGCGCAGTCACAGCAACAATACTCTGCACTGATGCGACAGCCTTCTGTAAACGCGCATCTATTATCTTATTCAGTTCAACTCGTCTAATTCGCTTCTACAGCTGCAAGTCAAGCCGGCTGCAGCAACACAGCTGACAGTTTTCTTGGAGCCACGTCCGCGCCAGTAAGATTCACGTTCATCCGCACGTCTGTGATAGTCAATGCTTCAGATGAAAAACTAAGTCACGCTCAGCGGGGTGCGGACAAGTGTTGTTACGAATGGAAACGTCAAGTCACATTGAAGTTTGCAGTGGCCTGGTGCATGAAAGTAGCATTGAGCAAAGGAGAAGGACTAGTGAGCAGACTCGAGCAGGGGATGTGGTAGTATTGGCTTGATTGTAACATGAAGGCACCCGAGGTGTAAAAGCGAATTCATTGCATGCTAAAAGTATTGACGCAGCAACGACTTGTGCATTGGCTAATGCATAATTCGTGTCGCAAAAGCCACTACGTTTCTCGGTATTGACACAGGACGCGCTCTCGAATCTGATCGGTTGTTGAAGGTATATTTTACCCGTAGTTTCCAACGCCAATTGAACACAAGTAAATGCACACTTCACACGTACCACCACTGAACATGTACTCACTCGTGCCGGTAGTACCTGGTCGATTAGCGCCTGTTGTCTTCCGCTCTAATGTCCGTGCAAGCAGTGCCAACGCTCGCGTCATGGCTTCACGCTCGCTCGTACGGGAAGACTTTGTCTGCACACTCAACACGGCACGCGTCTCCGACTCTTTGCTATCAGGCTCCCACTCGATGAAGGCGGCCTCGGGGTAAATGCCGCGAATAACCTCTTCTACTTCTTGCACCTCTTTCTCGACAAGACGAGTCACATCCTCCGCGTACCAAGCAAGCATGAGCGGCAAACCCTTTTCAAAATCTGTTGTCTCTAAAAACAACGGCTTGTACCTACCCAGGCCAAGACAAACAAAACACACGTCGTTAGTACCGAAGAATGAGCAGGACAAAACGAATGATGACGCTTACATTCGCAGCAGTTTCGCCGCAAAGAATGTCCCATCGAAGTCAACTTCAGCCTAGAACATGCCAAAAGTATTGCACGGGTCAGACCTAACATAAATGGCGGTACAAGTCGCGCTGTCCTGCCGTCACACCTTGTAACTAAATGTCGATGGCCCGACCCACTGTGAATGGACAGCATAGACGTTGTAAATGGACGGACGCGCCAGCAGTAGCTCGCGGATGCCATTCTCAATTTCCGGTTCCAATCACTGGCCCAATAAATACTTCTGATTCATTCGAATGAGCGATATTGCAGCACCGCCAAGAAGCACGCCAATCGATACACTAGCGAGACTGTCCCACACCGGGTTGCCAGTAATGTGGCTGGCCCCAATGCCACATCCAGCAATAACGATACCCACACATGCTGACATGTCTTCCAGTAGCACAGCCATCAGAAACGGATCCTTTGTCCGCGTCACATGCTTGTAAAACGACATGTCTTGGGGCTGAGAAGCCCTCAGTTCCTGTGCCGACCGCTTCAGCACCCATCCGTCAATGCCAAAAGAAGCTGCTAGCACACCCCACACTTCCCGCGAAAGAAAAAGCTCTTTCGGAGGATCCAAGACCGACTGGATCCCGTGGACAACCGTCACCCCAGAACCTAACCAGAAAATGCCAAGCGCAGAGATGAGCAATCCAAAGTACGCAGCACGTGTGTATCCATATTGGTGCTTTTTATGCGGCACACCCGATGCTTGCTTCAAGCCCAAGATCAGAATCGCCTGGTTGCCAGTGTCCACGAGCGAGTGAACTGCTTCCGAGAGCATGCATTCGAGCCCGTCTTGAGCCACACCAGCACCTTGAGCGTCATGACGAGTGTGTTGCCGATCATTGTTCGAAGCACCACGTCTCGAGACGTCGAACGGCACACTTTACCTGGAAAATAGGCCTGATTCACGTCCGTACGGAGCTTCCGCATAGGGTACGTGGGTTCAACAGCCATTGTCCGAAACGGCTCCTCCTCCTTATTGTCCCCATCCTCTTGTCACTTTCTCCATCATCACCACTGCCTTTTGTATCCATCTTCGTCTTCTCCTCCTCTTCCTCCTTCCTCTCAGGAGCTTGTTCAGTATCAAAGTCTTGTCCATTAGGGACTGTCGTTGCAAGCCATCGGAGCGAAAGCGACTGCGTCACCGCGATCAGAACTGGACCAGGCAACATGCGACGATGAAGACGCATCCAAGCGACAGGCAGCGTGCGCACGCTCTATGAACGCCGCAGCGACAACTGCAGCGAGCGCAGCATATGGCGAGCTTTTGCCAGCCTTGGAAGCCCCGACACGCTAAGTGATGTGGCGCACACCAGTATCCAGCGCGCCTGCGAGTTTTCGACGGGCTTTATTTTTAGTATTCCATCAAAGAGAGAACAAGAACAAGAGAGAGAGAGCGCGCGCGTTTCGAAGCGCTACGATGCGACTCGTCGATTACTTTGTCAAAGTTGTTGCCAACAACGTGTTCTTTTTGCGATGCAGCATCTGTTAGTGAGGCAGATTTGGAATGGAGACCTCGTGTACTGTGCTTGATTTCGCATCACCCCTTCTTTTCGCTTTTCAGCTGTGGCAACGTCACGCCCAGCGGGGTGTGAACAAGTGTTGTCGCGAATGGAAACGTCAAGTCACATTGAAGTTTGCAGTGGCCTGGTGCATGAAAGATGCATTGAGCAAAGGGGAAGGGATAGTGAGCAGACTCGAGCAGGGGATGTGGTCGTATCGGCTTCATTGTAACATGAAGGCACCCGAGGTGTAAAAGTGAATTCATTGCATGCTAAAAGTACTGACGCAGCAACAACTTGTGCATTGGCTCATGCATTGTTCGTGTCGCAATGGCTGCTACGTTTCTCGATATTGACACAGGACGCGCTCTCGAATCTGATCGGTTGTTGAAGCACATCTTAGCCGTAGTTTTCAACGCCAATTGAACACAAGCAATTGCACACTTCACACGTACCACCACTGAACATGTATTCACTCGTGCCGGTAGTAGCTGGACGATCAGCTCCTGTTGTCTTCCGCTCTAATGTCCGCGCAAGCAGTGCCAGCGCTCGCGTGATGGCTTCACGCTCGCTCGTACGGGAAGACTTTGTCTGCACACTCAACACGGCACGCATCTCCGACTCTTTGCTATCAGGCTCCCACTCGATGAAGGCGGCCTCGGGGTAAATGCCGCGAATAACCTCTTCCACTTCTTGCATCTCTTTCTCGACAAGACGAGTCACATCCTCCGCGTACCAAGCAAGAATGAGCGGCAAATCTTTAGTCAGAGCGCTTTAATTATGCAGAGCGTGAGCAAGAGAGAGAGAGAGGAGGGGAGATGGTCTTTACCTCGCGGGGACGCAGTTCTGACTGTGCTGACAAGTCAGTTGCTGTGGTGGACACTAAATACGACCTGCTTGTGACGAAGCTCAACATTGGTGTGGACGACATTAAGCACTAACTTCTCGTTTGTTTCAAGCAAACAAACGGCTCGAGATGCTGCGTCGGGTATGGCAGCGAGCAGGTATGTGGCAGTCACCCGACGCGGTTCTATTGCGCCGTTGCTGTTAATGCACAGGACTGTGTGCTGCCGCGTCGACAAGATTGGTCCTCTTCCCGCGCTTCGGCGCTGCGTCCACGCGCGCGGTCGCCAGTCAATCATACGGTGCCGAAAAAACGCTCCGCAGTCCGAACCAATTGAACGTTCTATTGTCCAATCAAACGCCGCTCACGACTTTTGTAGCCACTTGTCGCGCGTTGCGCGTCATTGACGAGACGGCGCTATTGGCGACGGTTGACGTCCGGACGTGAAACATGGCACTGCAGCGACGACCGGAGACTCAAGACGAACGCGTGGCAGCGGAGCTCTTGGGTTTCATCGCGAGTTGTAGTTGCGAAACTGCAAGTGTACCCATGTGGACTGATTTGTTTTTTACAGTGTGACGACAGCGTTCTTTACGCGGGTTTCAAACGGATGAGATGCAGGAGCTCTTGAGACAGTTGAAGCGGAGATACGGACCGCAATTTGTAGCCTGCGTGCTCGTAGACGTGGTCATGGCTGTGCCAGTATCAAGATGTTTGCAGCTGCTCACGAGCTGCTGCTGTACCAGCAGACGTTGTGGTCGGAGATTCGCGCTGGTACTACTACTCCTACTACTACAGACGAGACATTGACGACGGGGGTGGAGCGAGCAGAGTAAAGCGGTGATGTCGCCATCAGTGGTTGGCCACTTGATGGCCAAGATGATGCACAGGAAAAAGCACGGTCAAGTGCTGGCGTTTGCACGCGCGTAGTTTGCTAGTGCTGCGTTCGATCCAGTGCGAGATTTACAGCAACAAGGGTTCCTTGAACTGTTTAAATCAAGTGTGCACACGTAACAGTGTCCGAAATGTGGTGCACGTGTTTTCGGACTATGTGGAGGGAACGCGCCGTGCAGCAGGAGGCAAGGTGGAGAGAGTGAGGACACGAGTGCTCGAGCGAGGCTTTGGAGCTGCGATTCACTGCTGTGTAAAGCTTGATGAATATTCGCTGGCGTTGCATTGTTATGAAGTGATGGAAAGCACACGAGAGAGGCTCGTTTGTGCTAAGGATGGCTTACCGGTGGACGACGCGATCGACGAAGCTGCAGAGAGGGTTGGCATCGTGGATGAAGTGCTGCTAGCTGATGAAAATATATACGTCAACGTGTTAAAAGCATGTATGGAGATCGAGGATTTCTCCACGTTTAAAGATGAGTTCCGCGGGATGGTAGCTCGAGGTGTGGCTCGTAGTGCTGAATGTGGGCCAGCGATTCGTAATCGTCACAAGCATTTGGATCCAGCGTTCCATGAAGAAGTGTTGGACGTGGTATTCTGGACAGAGCAGAAGCTTGCAGGTGCCTGGACACTAGAGGTAGAAAACTATAACGATGCGCTTGGATGTTTTGCCGCTACGAATAGACCGGACCAAGCCAAGGAGCTGTTCTCGCAAATGCTGAACAACTCGTCGATAGTGCCCGGCATATTACGATGCTTGAGATGGTGGAGAGTCAGTGCAACGCCTCGATCGGGGAGGTGTTTAATCTCATGGACGTGTTTCTTGAGTGGAAGCTAACATCGAATCTTCAGGTGTTCACATCGCTGCTATCCATCTACATGCGCCGTCGTGAAGTAGGCAATGCTGTTGCGCTCATTGGTGCGATGGAAGAGCATGGTATCGTTCAGGATGTGAAGACATTCACGACTGTGGCGTTCATTCATGCATCTCGCGGTGACTTGAAGGCTGTGGGAGACGTTTTACGAGACATGGCGAGTCAAGGTGTTGCTACCGACAGGATGTTCTTTGACTACGTCCTCAACGCACTGTACGGGTCGTGCGGTATCGACATGTGTTTCTCGCTCTTGCGTGAGCTGAGTGCAAACGAGCTGGCGATTCCAGACGGGCTGTACATCTCGCTAATTGATCTCGGCACCACGATTGGTTTGATTGAGCGCACGGTGCATATTGCGTACAACATGGAGTGCGAAGGCTACCATCTCTCATCGAAGCAGTTGTACGCGTTGATGATGCGTTGTCACTCGGACGGCGAGATTTCGGAGTTTGTGCGGACGTTTGTGCTGTTACACCAGGGCGTGCCGCCCCAGACTCCGCGCGTTGAGGTGGAAATGTATGAAGATTTGATATCGGTGCTGACGCAATTCAATCGCAAAAACGAAGTCCCGAAAGTGCAGGAGCTGGCTAGATCAGTGGGGTACACTGATTTGCTTGTATAAGCGCATTTGTTGGTGCGGTTCGCTGTGCCGCGCCACGCCGCGACGCGGTCAAGGCATATTTACCCACAAAATAACGGTCCGTATCGTTCTTCTTTCACACGGCATTTCATTGTTTTTTGTTCCATCTATGCTAATATCCGGTGTCGACGTACTGCTCAAGCTGCTTAAGCAGGGGTTGGTAGAGCTTTTCGTTGGCTTGAACAGCCCAAACAAAGTCCAAATGGCTAAAGCTGCTGATCTCTTTCTCATAGACAATTGTGCTGGACGGCAACGCAGATCGTAACTGATCGATGTCAGCTCGAGTGGCGAAGATGTCGTTTCCACCAGTAAATAATCCAGTGCGAGGGTACTCCATGCTGCTAATGGGAAAATCTGGTGGGTCAAAGCTGCCGTACTTGACTTTGTTGGTGCACCTGTTTTCGGACACAGGTGAATGCCAAGCATGCGAGGACATCTGCAGCCATAGTCGAACGCTGAAAAGGTGTTGTCGCGGATGCTTTGGGCATAGTGGTGCACAGCTCTTGACGGAGGTTCCTGAGGGCACATCTGAAGCGTAATCGCCTGTACGAGATGCGTTCAAGTTCTCCGTAGATTTGACTACGAGTGCAAACCCCGAGGCGCACAATTCCGGACCCATGTGACATGCAGCCGGTCGAATGTTTTTGTAGCAACGCGTTATGCGAAAAGAGCTGGACTTGACCGGAGGCCTCGAGGACCTTGTCGAAGTAGGCACGAGCAAGGAGCTTGAACCCGTCCTCGAATCTGTATTGCCTATCCAGGCAACAGGTCCCAGAGCCGCACAATAGGACACGGATCGAGCGAGGGTCTGGTTTTTCAGCAAACGCAACGAATGCCTGAGTTGACCCCTGCGAATACCCTACAAGAGTCAGTATCTCCCGTCCCGACGTCTCCAGAGCATAGTTGAGCATTGCTGGCACGTCAAACTGCCCATGTCTTTCCACGAAAGGCCCAGAACGCAGTGTCTTTGGTCGTGTACTTAGCGTGGCTGGACGAGTACGTATTGCCGCGATTATTCCCAAGCCAGACATCGTGGCCAGCATCAGCAAGCACATAGGCGAGACTGTGGTTCCGGGAGTCGCACACCCATGCGAAACTACTGGCCACCATTTCATGCTGGACGAAAACAGCTGGTTTGTTTCGGTCTGCCTTGTCGTTGTCGGTGGCATCTGCTTGGCTTTCTCTGTACGACATTGGTAAGCGATGCATGGAGAGGATGTATCCATCTATTGTCGTGACATTGTGCGTCTCCACTACGTAGCCACGCGCTTGAACGAGCTCAACAGTGGACTTCCCAGCATCTGGATCGAGGTCTAGCTCAGCTGCCGTGACTTTGTCGAAGTGCAAGAGCGAGTGAGTCAAAGCAAGCAGCGCGAGTTCCGAGCACAGGACCACGAGGGCTTTGTCTCGAGATGAAAAACCTTCCGCAGTGTTGACAGGATGACGTTTACGATAATGAATGTGCGGCACCAAATCACGCGAAACCGAAGAATACACAGCACAGATTCGTGCACTTTCGTTCGCCTTCTGTCTTGTGGTCTTCCTTGGCGTCTCCTTTGTCATTTGCACCTCACCAGTTGTCGTCCCCTTTACTGCCGCCGACTTTCCATCATTTGACTGCTACAAGGGCTCGATGATCCATTCAATTGGGCGAGCAGCACCTCTGCTCAACGTCCGCTTTGTAACCGTCATCGTAATCATCAAGTTGATTACTCGTGTCGTTTCGTTCACTGCCATAATCAGCCCAAGGGCTCGTCTGCTGCTGCGCGCGACTTGAGACCGTGTTTTCTGTCGAAAATGCCACATGTGTACGCATTTCGATCAAAAATAGAATCCGAAGCGCTCCCGCGGCAACTCTTAACGTCGCATAGGTGATAGGATATCAGAGACTAGTGACTGAATGTAGAGAGTGCTGACATAATGCAGAGAGTGCTGGCTGGAGATGACGTTCTGCAGGTGTTTATTATACTTCTTTTGACTACTATTTTTATAGGTCAGGTAGGTAAAGATGACGTGAGCCATGTAGTCGGTCGTGGGACGAGGTACATGAGATGACCAGACCTCAGTATAGAAGAACAAGTAAGAGACTGCAGGAAGTAGAGTCGCTTGATGGGTTGAACAAGCATGGAGAGTATGCCTGATTGGTGAGAGAAATGCGTACTTACTCGCACGTCGCAGACTTGGGTCGGTGCATCTCATAGGTCTGAACAAAGGCATGAGCGAGGACGACTTCATTCTGAAAAAATCGACATCAGCAACACTCGAGTCTACAACACAATCGCGTTGACAACTTAACCAGTTTGAATAATCATGGTGAGTGCATGATTCATTTCTCGATCTATCAATTAATTTGTTGCTGACGTTTCTCTTCTGTGTGCATGTGTTTACTAGTGGATTACTATCGAGATCCAGAACTTGTACAACCTCGTTGAAGAGAGTATCCGTCATGTACTGAGTGTGCTGTCGGAGATTGCTTCCAAAGCATGCGGCATCTACGAGAAGAGCGTTAGTCCCACTGAATGGGACTTCAACCAGCTCACCAAGCTGCGCTCAAGTGATGAGAAGCACTGCACCATTGAGTATAGCCACGCACTACGCCCGCTAAAGGGAGCAAGCAGGCACAACAAGTGCCGTGCTACCCAAGCAGGTACGGCAGATGCCCATCCGGCGAACAGGTTCAAGTTGAAGCCTATTTGCAACGAGATTAATACCAACGAGTTCACACAGCTCGTTGCTACTCGCGATCCTGATGAAGATGGTGAAGATAGGACGTGGTACAGCCGGACACTGCTCCATTTAAAGAACAAGCGCCAACGCCAATTGAGCCACTACGATCGAGCCGATTCGATTTGTTCGACCAACTCAAGTGTTGACTAGTTTACACTTACAATGTCTTAGCCCGTAGTCTAGCGATAAACGTTTTTAATATATCCTCTATCTGTTAAACATGGTTCGCGACTTTATTGATGTTAACAATAAAAGCATACTCAAGAAACATGCGCAGTCACAGCAACAATACTCTGCACTGATGCGACAGCCTTCTGTAAACGCGCATCTATTATCTTATTCAGTTCAACTCGTCTAATTCGCTTCTACAGCTGCAAGTCAAGCCGGCTGCAGCAACACAGCTGACAGTTTTCTTGGAGCCACGTCCACGCCAGTAAGATTCACGTTCATCCGCACGTCCGTGGTAGTCAATGCTTCAGATGAAAAACTAAGTCACGCTCAGCGGGGTGCGGACAAGTGTTGTCACGAATGGAAACGTCAGTCACATTGAAGCCTCTAGTGGCCTGGTGCGTGAAAGTAGCATTGAGCAAAGGGGAAGGACTAGTGAGCAGACTCGAGCAGGGGATGTGGTTTCATTGTAGCCTAAAGGCACCCGAGGTGTAAAAGTGAATTCATTGCATGCTAAAAGTATTGACGCAGCAACGACTTGTGCATTGGCTCATGCATTGTTCGTGTCGCAATGGCTGCTACGTTTCTCGATATTGACACAGGACGCGCTCTCGAATCTGATCGGTTGTTAAAGGTATATTTTACCCGTAGTTTCCAATGCCAATTGAACACAAGCAAATGCACACTTCACACGTACCACCACTGAACATGTATTCACTCGTGCCGGTAGTACCTGGACGATCAGCTCCTGTTGTCTTCCGCTCTAATGTCCGTGCAAGGAGGGCCAATGCTCGCGTCATAGCTTCTCGCTCACTAGTACGGGAAGACTTTGTCTGCACACTCAACACGGCACGCATCTCCGACTCTTTGCTATCAGGCTCCCACTCGATGAAGGCGGCCTCGGGGTAGATGCCGCGAATTACCTCTTCGGCCTCTTGCACCTCTTTCTCAACAAGACGGGTCACATCCTCCGCATACCAAGCGAGAATGAGCGGCAAACCCTTTTCAAAATCTGTTGTCTCTAAAAACAACGGCTTGTACCTACCCAGGCCAAGACAAACAAAACACACGTCGTTAGTACCGAAGAATGAGCAGGACAAAACGAATCATGACGCTTACATTCGCAGCAGTTTCGCCGCCAAGAACGTCCCATCGAAGTCAACTTCAGCCTAGAACATGCCAAAAGTATTGCACGGGTCAAGACCTAACATAAATGGCGGTACAAGTCGCGCTGTCCTGCCGTCACACCTTGTAACTAAATGTCGATGGCCCGACCCACTGTGAATGGACAGCATAGACGTTGTCAATGGACGGACGCGCCAGCAGTAGCTCGCGGATGCCATTCTCGATTTCCGGTTCCAATCACTGGCCCAATAAATACTTCTGATTCATTCGAATGAGCGATATTGCAACACCGCCAAGAAGCAAGCCAATCGATTCACTAGCGAGACTGTCCCACACCGGGTTGCCTGTAATGTGGCTGGCCCCAATGCCACATCCAGCAATAACGATACCCACACATGCTGACATGTCTTCCAGCAGCACAGCCATCATGAACGGATCCTTTGTCCGCGTCACATGCTTGTAAAACGACATGTCTTGGGGCTGAGAAGCCCTCAGTTCCTGTACCGACCGATTCAGCACCCATCCGTCAATGCCAAAAGAAGCTGCTAGCACACCCCACACTTCCCGCGAAAGAAAAAGCTCTTTCGGAGGATCCAAGACCGACTGGATCCCGTGGACAACCGTCACCCCAGAACCTAACCAGAAAATGCCAAGCGCAGAGATGAGCGACCAAAAGTACGCAGCACGTGTGTATCCATATTGGTGCTTTTTATGCGGCACACCCGATGCTTGCTTCAAGCCCAAGATCAGAATCGCCTGGTTGCCAGTGTCCACAAGCGAGTGAATTGCTTCCGAGAGCATGCATTCGAGCCCGTCTTGAGCCACACCAGCACCTTGAGCGTCATGACGAGTGTGTTGCCGATCATTGTTCGAAGCACCACGTCTCGAGACGTCGAACGGCACACTTTACCTGGAAAATAGGCCTGATTCACGTCCGTACGGAGCTTCCGCATAGGGTACGTGGGTTCAACAGCCATTGTCCGAAACGGCTCCTCCTCCTTATTGTCCCCATCCTCTTGTCCACTTTCTCCATCATCACCACTGCCTTTTGTACCCATCTTCGTCTTCTCCTCCTCCTTCCTCCTTCCTCTCAGGAGCTTGTTCAGTATCAAAGTCTTGTCCATTAGGGACTGTCGTTGCAAGCCATCGGAGCGAAAGCGACTGCGTCACCGCGATCGGAACTGGACCAGGCAACATGCGACGATGAAGACGCATCCAAGCGACAGGCAGCGTGCGCACGCTCTATGAACGCCGCAGCGACAACTGCAGCGAGCGCAGCATGTGGCGAGCTTTTGCCAGCCTTGGAAGCCCCGACACGTTAAGTGATGTGGCGCACACCAGTATCCAGCGCGCCTGCGAGTTTTCGACGGGCTTTAGTTTTAGTATTCCATCAAAGAGAGAAACAAGAACAAGAGAGAGAGAGAAGAGCGCGTTTCGAAGCGCTACGATGCGACTCGTCGATTACTTTGTCAAAGTTGTTGCCAACAACGTGTTCTTTTTGCGATGCAGCATCTGTTAGTGAGGCGGATTTGGAATGGAGACCTCGTGTACTGTGCTTGATTTCGCATCACCCCTTCTTTTCGCTTTTCAGCTGCGGCAACGTCACGCCCAGCGGGGTGTGAACAAGTGTGGTCACGAATGGAAACGTAAAGTCACATTGAAGCTTGTAGTGGCCTGGTGCGTGAAAGTAGCATTGAGTAAAGAGGGAAGAATTGTGAGCAGACTCGAGCAGGGGATGTGGTAGTATTGGCTTCATTGTAGCATGAAGGCACCCGAGGTGTAAAAGTGAATTCATTGCATGCTAAAAGTACTGACGCAGCAACGACTTGTGCATTGGCTCATGCATTGTTCGTGTCGCAATGGCTGCTACGTTTCTCGATATTGACACAGTACGCGCTTTCGAATTGGTTGTTGAAGTACATCTTAGCCGTAGTTTCCAATGCCAATTGAACACAAGTAAATCCACACTTCACACGTACCACCACTGAACATGTATTCACTCGTGCCGGAAGTACCTGGACGATCAGCTCCTGTTGTCTTCCGCTCTAATGTCCGTGCAAGCAGTGCCAGCGCTCGTGTCATGGCTTCACGCTCGCTCGTACGGAAAGACTTTGTCTGCATACTCAACACGGCACGCATCTCCGACTCTTTGCTATCAGGCTCCCACTCGATGAAGGCGGCCTCGGGGTAAATGCCGCGAATAACCTCTTCTACTTCTTGCATCTCTTTCTCGACAAGACGAGTCACATCCTCCGCGTACCAAGCAAGAATGAGCGGCAAATCTTTAGTCAGAGCGCTTTAATTATGCAGAGCGTGAGCAAGAGAGAGAGAGAGGGGGGAGATGGTCTTTACCTCGCGGGGACGCAGTCCTGACTGTGCTGACGAGTCAGTTTCTGTGGTGGACACTAAATACGACCTGCTTGTGACGAAGCTCAACATTGGTGTGGACGACATGAAGCACTAACTTCTCGTTTGTTTCAAGCAAACAAACGGCTCGAGATGCTGCGTCGGGTGTGGCAGCGAGCAGGTATGTGGCAGTCACCCGACGCGGTTCTATTGCGCCGTTGCTGTTAATGCACAGGACTGTGTGCTGCCGCGTCGACAAGATTGGTCCTCTTCCCGCGCTTCGGCGCTGCGTCCACGCGCGCGGTCGCCAGTCAATCATACGGTGCCGAAAAAACGCTCCGCAGTCCGAACCAATTGAACGTTTTATTGTCCAATCAAACGCCGCCCACGAATTTTGTAGCCACTTGTCGCGCGTTGCGCGTCATTGACGAGACGGCGCTATTGGCGACGATTGACGTCCGGACGTGGAACATGGCACTGCAGCGACGACTGGAGGCTCAAGACGAACGCGTGGCAGCGGAGCTCTTGGGTTTAATCGCGAGTTGTAGTCGTGAAAATACAAGTGTGCCCATGTGGACCGATTTGTTTTTTTACAGTGTGACGACAGCGTTCTTTACGCGGGTTTCGAACGGATGAGATGCAGGAGCTCTTGAGACAGTTGAAGCGGAGATACGGACCGCAATTTGTAGCCCGCGTGCTCGTAGACGTGGTCATGGCTGTGCCAGTATCAAGATGTTTGCAGCTGCTCACGAGCTGCTGCTGTACCAGCAGACGTTGTGGTCGGAGATTCGCGCTGGTACTACTACTCCTACTACTACAGACGAGACATTGACGACGGGGTGGAGCGAGCAGAGTAAAGCGCTGATGCCGCCATCAGTGGTTGGCCACTTGATGGCCAAGATGATGCACAGGAAAAAGCACGGTCAAGTGCTGGCGTTTGCACGCGCGTAGTTTGCTAGTGCTGCGTTCGATCCAGTGCGAGATTTACAGCAACAAGGGTTCCTTGAACTGTTTAAATCAAGTGTGCACACGTAACAGTGTCCGAAATGTGGTGCACGTGTTTTCGGACTATGTGGAGGGAACGTGCCGTGCAGCAGGAGGCAAGGTGGAGAGAGTGAGGACACGAGTGCTCGAGCGAGGCTTTGGAGCTGCGATTCACTGCTGTGTAAAGCTTGATGAATATTCACTGGCGTTGCATTGTTATGAAGTGATGGAAAGCACACGAGAGAGGCTCGTTTGTGCTAAGGACGACTTACCGGTGGACGACGCGATCGACGAAGCTGCAGAGAGGGTTGGCATCGTGGATGAAGTGCTGCTAGCTGATGAAAATATTTACGTCAACGTGTTGAAAGCATGTATGAAGATTGAGGATTTCTCCACGTTTAAAGATGAGTTCCGCGGGATGGTAGCTCGAGGTGTGGCTCGTAGTGCTGGATTCGGGTCAGCGATTCGTAATCGTCACAAGCATTTGGATCCAGCGTTCCATGAAGAAGTGTTGGACGTGGTATTCTGGGCAGAGCAGAAGCGTGCAGGTGCCTGGACACTAGAGGTAGAAAACTATAACGATGCGCTTGGATGTTTTGCTGATACGAATAGACCGGACCAAGCCAAGGAGCTGTTTTCGCAAATGCTGAACAACTCGTCGATAGTGCCCGGCATATTACGATGCTTGAGATGGTGGAGAGTCAGTGCAACGCCTCGATCGGGGAGGTGTTTAATCTCATGGACGTGTTTCTTGAGTGGAAGCGAACATCGAATCTTCAGGTGTTCACATCGCTGCTGTCCATCTACATGCGCCGTCGTGAAGTAGGCAATGCTGTTGCGCTCATTGGTGCGATGGGAGAGCATGGTATCGTTCAGGGTGTGGAGGCATTCACGACTGTGGCGTTCATTCATGCATCTCGCGGTGACTTGAAGGCTGTGGAAGACGTTTTACGAGACATGGCGAGTCAAGGTGTTGCTACCGACAGGATGTTCTTTGACTACGTCCTCAACGCACTGTACGGGTCGTGCGGTATCGACATGTGTTTCTCGCTCTTGCGTGAGCTGAGTGCAAATGAGCTGGCGATTCCAGACGGACTGTACATCTCGCTGATTGATCTCGGCACCACGATTGGTTTGATTGAGCGCACGGTGTATATTGCGTACAACAAGGAGTGCGAAGGCTACCATCTATCATCGAAGCAGTTGTACGCGTTGATGATGCGTTGTCTCTCGGACGGCAAGATTTTGGAGTTTGTGCGGACGTTTGGGCTGTTACACCAGGGCGTGCCGCCCCAGACTCCGCGCGTTGAGGTGGAAATGTAAGAAGATTTGATATCGGTGCTGACGCAATTCAATCGCAAAAACGAAGTCCCGAAAGTGCAGGAGCTGGCTAGATCAGTGGGGTACACTGATTTGCTTGCATAAGCGCATTTGTTGGTGCGGTTGGCCGTGCTGCGCCACGCCGCGCCGCGCTCAAGGCATATTTACCCACAAAATGACGGTCCGTATCGTTCTTCTTTCACACGGCATTTCATTATTTTTTGTTTCACCTATGCTAATATCCGGTGTCGACGTATGCTCCAGATGCTTAAGCAGGGGTTGGTACAGCTTTTCGTTGGCTTGAACAGCCCAAACAAAGTCCAAATGGCTAAAAGCTGCTGATCTCTTTCTCATAGACAATTGTGCTGGACGGCAACGCAGATTGTAACTGATCGATGTCAGCTCGAGTGGCGAAGATGTCGTTTCCACCAGTAAATAATCCAGTGCAAGGGTACTCCATGCTGTTAATGGGAAAATCTGGTGGGCCAAAGCTGCCGTACTTGACTTTGTTGGTGCACCTGTTTTCGGACACAGGTGAATGCCAAGCATGCGAGGACATCTGCAGCCATAGTCGAACGCTGAAAAGGTGTTGTCGCGGATGCTTTGGGCATAGTGGTGCACAGTCTTGACGGAGGTTCCTGAGGGCACATCTGAAGCGTAATCGCCTGTACGAGACGCGTTCAAGTTCTCCGTAGATTTGACTACGAGTGCAAACCCCGAGGCGCACAATTTCGGGCCCATGTGACATGCAGCCGGTCGGATGTCGTAGCGACGCGTTTTGCGAAAAGAGCTGGACTTGACCGGAGGCCTCGAGGACCTTGTCGAAGTAGGCACGAGCAAGGAGCTTGAACCCGTCCTCGAATCTGTATTGCCTATCCAGGCAACAGGTCCCAGAGCCGCACAATAGGACACGGATCGAGCGAGGGTCTGGTTTTTCAGCAAACGCAACGAATGCCTGAGTTGACCCCTGCGAATACCCTACAAGAGCCAGTGTCTCCCTCCCGACGTCTCCAGAGCATAGTTGAGCGTTGCTGGTACGTCAAACTGCCCGTGGCTTCCCATGAAAAGTCCCAGAACGCAGTGTCTTTGGTCGTGTACTTAACGTGGCTGGACGAGTACGTATTGCCGCGATTATTCCCAAGCCAGACATCGTAGCCAGCATCAGCAAGCACATAGGCGAGACTGTGGTTCCGGGAGTCGCACACCCACGCGAAACTACTGGCCACCATTTCATGCTGGACGAAAACAGCTGGTTTGTTTCGGTCTGCCTTGTCGTTGTTGTTGGCATCTGCTTGGCTTTCTCTGTACGACATTGGTAAGCGATGCATGGAGAGGATGTATCCATCTATTGTCGTGACTTTGTGCGTCTCCACTACGTAGCCACGCGCTTGAACGAGCTCAACAGTGGACTTCCCAGCATCTGGATCGAGGTCTAGCTCAGCTGCCGTGACTTTGTCGAAGTGCAAGAGCGAGTGAGTCAAAGCAAGCAGCGCGAGTTCCAAGCACAGGACCACGAGGGCTTTGTCTCGAGATGAAAAACCTTCTGCAGTGTTGACAGGATGACGTTTACGATAATGAATGTGCGGCACCAAATCACGCGAAACCGAAGAGTACACAGCACAGATTCGTGCACTTTCGTTCGCCTTCTGTCTTGTGGTCTTCCTTGGCGTCTCCTTTGTCATTTGCACCTCACCAGTTGTCGTCCCCTTTACTGCCACCGACTTTCCATCATTTGACTGCTACAAGGGCTCGATGATCCATTCAATTGGGCGAGCAGCACCTCTGCTCAACTTCCGCTTTGTAACCGTCATCGTAATCATCAAGTTGATTACTCGTGTCGTTTCGTTCACTGCCATAATCAGCCCAAGGGCTCGTCTGCTGCTGCGCGCGACTTGAGACCGTGTTTTCTGTCGAAAATGCCACATGTGAACACTTTTCAATCAAAATTAGAATCCGAGGTGATAGGACGTCAAAGATAGTGACTGCATGCAGAGATTGTGACTGAATGCATAGAGTGCTGACTGAACGTAGAGAGTGCTGACATAATACAGAGAGTGCTGGCAGGAGATGACGTTGTGCAGGTGTTTATTGTACTTATTTATATTACCATTTAATAGGTCAGGTAGGTAAAGATGACGTGAGCCATGTAGTCGGTCTTGGGACGAGGTACATGAGATGACCAGACCTCAGTATAGAAGAACAAGTAAGAGACTGCAGGAAGTACAGTCGCTTGATGGGTTGAACAAGCATGGAGAGTATGCCTGATTGGTGAGAGAAATGCGTACTTACTCGCACGTCGCAGACTTGGGTCGGTGCATCTCATAGGTCGGAGCAAAGGCATGAGCGAGGACGACTTCATTCTGAAAACATCGACTTCAGCAACACTTGAGTCTACAAGACAATCGCGTTCACAACTTCACCAGCTTGAATGATCATGGTGAGTGCATGATTCATTTCTCGATCTATCAATTTACTTGTTGCTGACGTTTCTCTTCTGTGTGCATGTGTTTACTAGTGGATTAATATCGAGATCCAGAACTTATACAACCTCGTTGAAGAGAGTATCCGTCATGTACTGAGTGTGCTGTCGGAGATTGCTTCCAAAGCATGCGGCATCTACGAGAAGAGCGTTAGTCCCACTGAATGGGACTTCAACCAGCTCACCAAGCTGCGCTCAAGTGATGAGAAGCACTGCACCATTGAGTATAGCCACGCACTACGCCCGCTAAAGGGAGCAAGCAGGCACAACAAGTGCCGTGCTACCCAAGCAGGTACGGCAGATGCCCATCCGGCGAACAGGTTCAAGTTGAAGCCTATTTGCAACGAGATTAATACCGAGTTCACACAGCTCGTTGCTACTCGCGATCCTGATGAAGATGGTGAAGATAGGACGTGGTACAGCCGGACACTGCTCCATTTAAAGAACAAGCGCCAACGCCAATTGAGCCACTACGATCGAGCCGATTCGATTTGTTCGACCAACTCAAGTGTTGACTAGTTTACACTTACAATGTCTTAGCCCGTAGTCTAGCAATAAACGTTTTTAATATATCCATCTATCTGTTAAACATGGTTCGCGACTGAATTGATGTTAACAATAAAAGCATACTCAAGAAACATGCGCAGTCACAGCAACAATACTCTGCACTGATGCGACAGCCTTCTGTAAACGCGCATCTATTATCTTATTCAGTTCAACTCGTCTAATTCGCTTCTACAGCTGCAAGTCAAGCCGGCTGCAGCAACACAGCTGACAGTTTTCTTGGAGCCACGTCCGCGCCAGTAAGATTCACGTTCATCCGCACGTCTGTGATAGTCAATGCTTCAGATGAAAAACTAAGTCACGCTCAGCGGGGTGCGGACAAGTGTTGTTACGAATGGAAACGTCAAGTCACATTGAAGTTTGCAGTGGCCTGGTGCATGAAAGTAGCATTGAGCAAAGGAGAAGGACTAGTGAGCAGACTCACACCCGAGGTGTAAAAGCGAATTCATTGCATGCTAAAAGTATTGACGCAGCAACGACTTGTGCATTGGCTAATGCATAATTCGTGTCGCAAAAGCCACTACGTTTCTCGGTATTGACACAGGACGCGCTCTCGAATCTGATCGGTTGTTGAAGGTATATTTTACCCGTAGTTTCCAACGCCAATTGAACACAAGTAAATGCACACTTCACACGTACCACCACTAAACATGTACTCACTCGTGCCGGTAGTACCTGGTCGATTAGCGCCTGTTGTCTTCCGCTCTAATGTCCGTGCAAGCAGTGCCAACGCTCGCGTCATGGCTTCACGCTCGCTCGTACGGGAAGACTTTGTCTGCACACTCAACACGGCACGCGTCTCCGACTCTTTGCTATCAGGCTCCCACTCGATGAAGGCGGCCTCGGGGTAAATGCCGCGAATAACCTCTTCTACTTCTTGCACCTCTTTCTCGACAAGACGAGTCACATCCTCCGCGTACCAAGCAATAATGAGCGGCAAATCTTTAGTCAGAGCGCTTTAATTATGTAGAACGTTAGCAAGAGAGAGAGAGAGGAGGGGAGATGGTCTTTACCTCGCGGGGACGCAGTCCTGACTGTGCTGACGAGTCAGTTTCTGTGGTGGACACTAGATACGACCTGCTTGTGACGAAGCTCAACATTGGTGTGGACGACATGAAGCACTAACTTCTCGTTTGTTTCAAGCAAACAAACGGCTCGAGATGCTGCGTCGGGTGTGGCAGCGAGCAGGTATGTGGCAGTCACCCGACGCGGTTCTATTGCTCCGTTGCTGTCAATGCACAGGACCGTGTGCTGCCACTTCGACAAGATCGGTCCTCTTCCCGCGCTTCGGCGCTGCGTCCGCGCGCGCGGTCGCCAGTCAATCATACGGTGCCGAAAAAACGCTCCGCAGTCCGAACCAATTGAACGTTTTATTGTCCAATCAAACGCCGCTCACGACTTTTGTAGCCACTTGTCGTGCGCTGCGCGTCATTGACGGGACGGCGCTATTGGCGACGATTGACGTCCGGACGTGGAACGTGGCACTGCAGCGACGACTGGAGGCTCAAGACGAACGCGTGGCAGCGGAGCTCTTGAGTTTAATCGCGAGTTGTAGTTGCGAAACTGCAAGCGTGCCCATGTGGACTGATTTGTTTTTCACAGTGTGACGACAGCGTTCTTTACGCGGGTTTCGAACGGATGAGATGCAGGAGCTCTTGAGACAGTTGAAGCGGAGATACGGACCGCAATTTGTAGCCTGCGTGCTCGTAGACGTGGTCATGGCTGTGCCAGTATCAAGATGTTTTGCAGCTGCTCACGAGCTGCTGCTGTATCAGCAGACGTTGTGGTCGGAGATTCGCGCTGGTACTACTACTCCTACTACTACAGACGAGACGTTAACGACGGGGTGGAGCGAGAAGAGTAAAGCGCTGATGCCGCCATCAGTGGTTGGCCACTTGATGGCCAAGATGATGCACAGGAAAAAGCACGGTCAAGTGCTGGCGCTTGCACGCGCGTAGTTTGCTAGTGCTGCGTTCGATCCAGTGCGAGATTTACAGCAACAAGGGTTCCTTGAACTGTTTAAATCAAGTGTGCACACGTAACAGTGTCCGAAATGTGGTGCACGTGTTTTCGGACTATGTGGAGAGAACGCGCCGTGCAGCAGGAGGCAAGGTGGAGAGAGTGAGGACACGAGTGCTCGAGCGAGGCTTTGGAGCTGCGATTCACTGCTGTGTAAAGCTTGATGAATATTCGCTGGCGTTGCGTTGTTATGAAGTGATGGAAAGCACACGAGGGAGGCTCGTTTGTGCTAAGGATGGCTTACCGGTGGACGACGCGATCGACGAAGCTGCAGAGAGGGTTGGCATCGTGGATGAAGTGCTGCTAGCTGATGAAAATATATACGTCAACGTGTTAAAAGCATGTATGAAGATCGAGGATTTCTCCACGTTTAAAGATGAGTTCCGCGGGATGGTAGCTCGAGGTGTGGCTCGTAGTGCTGGATGTGGGCCAGCGATTCGTTATTGTCACAAGCATTTGGATCCAGTGTTCCATGAAGAAGTGTTGGACGGGGTATTCTGGACAGAGCAGAAGCTTGCAGGTGCCTGGACACTAGAGGTAGAAAACTATAACGATGCGCTTGGATGTTTTGCCGCTATGGATAGACCGGACCAAGCCAAGGAGCTGTTCTCGCAAATGCTGAACAACTCGTCGATAGTGCCCGGCATATTACGATGCTTGAGATGGTGGAGAGTCAGTGCAACGCCTCGATCGGGGAGGTGTTTAATCTCATGGACGTGTTTCTTGAGTGGAAGCGAACATTGAATCTTCAGGTGTTCACATCGCTGCTGTCCATCTACATGCGCCGTCGTGAAGTAGGCAATGCTGTTGCGCTCATTGGTGCGATGGGAGAGCATGGTATCGTTCAGGATGTGAAGGCATTCACGACTGTGGCGTTCATTCGTGCATCTCGCGGTGACTTGAAGGCTGTGGAAGACGTTTTACGAGACATGGCTAGTCAAGGTGTTGCTACCGACAGGATGTTCTTTGACTACGTCCTCAACGCACTGTACGGGTCGTGCGGTATCGACATGTGTTTCTAGCTCTTGCGTGAGCTGAGTGCAAACGAGCTGGCGATTCCAGACGGGCTGTACATCTCGCTAATTGATCTCGGCACCACGATTGGTTTGATTGAGCGCACTCTGCAAATTGCGTACAACAAGGAGTGCGAAGGCTACCATCTATCATCGAAGCAGTTGTACGCGTTGATGATGCGTTGTCACTCGGACGGCGAGATTTCGGAGTTTGTGCGGACGTTTGTGCTGTTGCACCAGGGCGTGCCGCCCCAGACTCCGCGCGTTGAGGTGGAAATGTATGAAGATTTGATATCGGTGCTGACGCAATTCAATCGCAAAAACGAAGTCCCGAAAGTGCAGGAGCTGGCTAGATCAGTGGGGTACACTGATTTGCTTGCATAAGCGCATTTGTTGGTGCGGTTCGCTGTGCCGCGCCACGCCGCGCCGCGCTCAAGGCATATTTACCCACAAAATGACGGTCCGTATCGTTCTTCTTTCACACGGCATTTCATTGTTTTTTGTTTCACCTATGCTAATATCCGGTGTCAACGTATGCTCCAGATGCTTAAGCAGGGGTTGGTAGAGCTTTTCGTTGGCTTGAACAGCCCAAACAAAGTCCAAATGGCTAAAGCTGCTGATCTCTTTCTCATAGACAATTGTGCTGGACAGCAACGCAGATCGTAACTGATCGATGTCAGCTCGAGTGGCAAAGATGTCGTTTCCACCAGTAAATAATCCAGTGCGAGGGTACTCCATGCTGCTAATGGGAAAATCTGGTGGGTCAAAGCTGCCGTACTTGACTTTGTTGGTGCACCTGTTTTCGAACTCAGGTGAATGCCAAGCATGCGAGGACATCTGCAGCCATAGTCGAACGCCGAAAAGGTGTTGTCGCGGATGCTTTGGGCATAGTGGTGCACAGTCTTGACGGAGGTTCCTGAGGGCACATCTGAAGCGTAATCGCCTGTACGAGATGCGTTCAAGTTCTCCGTAGATTTGACTACGAGTGCAAACCCCGAGGCGCACAATTCCGGACCCATGTGACATGCAGCCGGTTGAATGCTTTTTTGTAGCAACGCGTTATGCGAAAAGAGCTGGACTTGACCGGAGGCCTCGAGGACCTTGTCGAAGTAGGCACGAGCAAGGAGATTGAACGTCCTCGAATCTGTATTGCCTAGCCAGGCGACAGGTCCCAGAGCCGCACAATAGGACACGGATCGAGCGAGGGTCTGGTTTTTGCAGCAAACGCAACGAATGCCTGAGTTGACCCCTGCGAATACCCTACAAGAGCCAGTGTTTCCCGTCCCGACGTCTCCAGAGCATAGTTGAGCGTTGCTGGCACGTCAAACTGCCCATGTCTTCCCACAAAAGGCCCAGAACGCAGTGTCTTTGGTCGTGTACTTAGCGTGGCTGGACGAGTACGTATTGCCGCGATTATTCCCAAGCCAGACATCGTAGCCAGCATCAGCAAGCACGTAGGCGAGACTGTGGTTCCGGGAGTCGCACACCCATGCGAAACTACTGGCCACCATTTCATGCTGGACGAAAACAGCTGGTGTGTTTCGGTCTGCCTTGTCGTTGTCGGTGGTATCTGCTTGGCTTTCTTCGTACGACATTGGTAAGCGATGCATGGAGAGGATGTATCCATCTATTGTCGTGACATTGTGCGTCTCCACCACGTAGCCACGCGCTTGAACGAGCTCAACAGTGGACTTCCCAGCATCTGGATCGAGGTCTAGCTCAGCTGCCGTGACTTTGTCGAAGTGCAAGAGCGAGTGAGTCAAAGCAAGCAGCGCGAGTTCCAAGCACAGGACCACGAGAGCTTTGTCTCGAGATGAACAACCTTCCGCAGTGTTGACAGGATGATGTTTACGAAAATGAATGTGCGGCACCAAATCACGCGAAACCGAAGAATACACAGCACAGATTCGTGCACTTTCGTTCGCCTTCTGTCTTGTGGTCTTCCTTGGCGTCTCCTTTGTCATTTGCACCTCACCAATTGTCGTCTCCTTTACTGCTGCCGACTTTCCATCATTTGACTGCTACAAGAGCTCGATGATCCATTCAATTGGGCGAGCAGCACCTCTGCTCAACGTCCGCTTTGTAACCGTCATCGTAATCGTCAAGTTGATTACTCGTGTCGTTTCGTTCACTGCCATAATCAGCCCAAGGGCTCGTCTGCTGCTGCGCGCGACTTGAGACCGTGTTTTCTGTCGAAAATGCCACATGTGTACGCATTTCGATCAAAAGTAGAATCCGCAACGCTCCCGCGGCAACTCTTAACGTCACATAGGTGAAAGGATATCAGAGACTAGTGAATGAATGTAGAGAGTGCTGACTGGAGATGACGTTCTGCAGGTGTTTATTATACTTATTTGTACCACAATTTATAGGTCAGGTAGGTAAAGATGACGTGAGCCATGTAGTCGGTCTTGGGACGAGGTACATGAGATGACCAGACCTCAGTATAGAAGAACAAGTAAGAGACTGCAGGAAGTGTAGTCGCTTGATGGGTTGAACAAGCATGGAGAGTATGCCTGATTGGTGAGAGAAATGCGTACTTACTCGCACGTCGCAGACCCGGGTCGGTGCATCTCACGGGTCGGAGCAAAGGCATGAGCGAGGACGACTTCATTCTGAAAACATCGACTTCAGCAACACTTGAGTCTACAACACAATCGCGTTCACAACTTCACCAGCTTGAATGATCATGGTGAGTGCATGATTCATTTCTCGATCTATCAATTTACTTGTTGCTGACGTTTCTCTTCTGTGTGCATGTGTTTACTAGTGGATTACTATGGAGATCCAGAACTTATACAACCTCGTTGAAGAGAGTATCCGTCATGTACTGAGTGTGCTGTCGGAGATTGCTTCCAAAGCATGCGGCATCTACGAGAAGAGCGTTAGTCCCACTGAATGGGACTTCAACCAGCTCACCAAGCTGCGCTCAAGTGATGAGAAGCACTGCACCATTGAGTATAGCCACGCACTACGCCCGCTAAAGGGAGCAAGCAGGCACAACAAGTGCCGTGCTACCCAAGCAGGTACGGCAGATGCCCATCCGGCGAACAGGTTCAAGTTGAAGCCTATTTGCAACGAGATTAATACCAACGAGTTCACACAGCTCGTTGCTACTCGCGATCCTGATGAAGATGGTGAAGATAGGACGTGGTACAGCCGGACACTGCTCCATTTAAAGAACAAGCGCCGACGCCAATTGAGCCACTACGATCGAGCTGATTCGATTTGTTCGACCAACTCAAGTGCCAACTCGTTTACACTTACAATGTCTTAGCCGTAGTCTAGCGATAAACGTTTTTAATATATCCATCTATCTGTTAAACATGGTTCGCGACTTTGTTGATGTTAACAATAAAAGCATACTCAAGAAACATGCGCAGTCACAGCAACAATACTCTGCACTGATGCGACAGCCTTCTGTAAACGCGAATACATTATTTTGTTCAGTTCAACTCGTCTAATTCGCTTCTACAGCTGCAAGTCGAGCCGGCTGTAGCGACATAGCTGACAGTTTTCTTGGAGCCACGTCCACGCCAGTAAGATTCACGTTCATCCGCACGTCCGTGAGAGTCAATGCTTCAGATGTAAAACTAAGTCACGCTCAGCGGGGTGCGGACAAGTGTTGTTACGAATGGAAACGTCAAGTCACATTGAAGCCTCTGGCAGCCTGGCGCGTGAAAGTATCATTAAGCGAAGGAGAAAGGATAGTGAGCAGACTTGAGCAGGGGATGTGGTCGTATCGGCTTGATTGTAACATGAAGGCACCCGAGGTGTAAAAGCGAATTCATTGCATGCTAAAAGCATTGACGCAGCAACAACTTGTGCATTGGCTAATGCATTGTTCGTGTAGCAGTAGCCACTACGTTTCTCGATATTGACACAGGACGCGCTCTCGAATCTGATCGGTTGTTGAAGGTATATTTTACCCGTAGTTTCCAACGCCAATTGAACACAAGCAAATCCACACGTCACACGTACCACCACTAAACATGTACTCACTCGTGCCGGTAGTAGTGCGAGCAGTGCCAACGCTCGCGTCATGGCTTCACGCTCGCTCGTATGGGAAGACTTTGTCTGCATACTCAACACGGCACGCATCTCCGACTCTTTGCTATCAGGCTCCCACTCGATGAAGGCGGCCTCGGGGTAAATGCCGCGAATAACCTCTTCTACTTCTTGCACCTCTTTCTCGACAAGACGAGTCACATCCTCCGCGTACCAAGCAAGAATGAGCGGCAAACCCTTTTTAAAATCTTTTGTCTCTAAAAACACCGGCTTGTACCTACCAGGCCAAGACAAACAAAACACACGTCGTTAGTACCGAAGAATGAGCAGGACAAAACGAATGATGACGCTTACATTCGCAGCAGTTTCGCCGCAAAGAATGTCCCATCGAAGTCAACTTCAGCCTAGAACATGCCAAAAGTATTGCACGGGTCAGACCTAACATAAATGGCGGTACAAGTCGCGCTGTCCTGCTGTCATACCTTGTAACTAAATGTAGATGGCCCGACCCACTGTGACTGGACAGCATAGACGTTGTCAATGGACGGACGCGCCAGCAGTAGCTCGCGGATGCCATTCTCGATTTCCGGTTCCACTCACTGGCCCAATAAACACTTCTGGTTCATTCGAATGAGCGATATTGCAACACCGCCAAGAAGCAAGCCAATCGATTCACTAGCGAGACTGTCCCACACCGGGTTGCCTGTAATGTGGCTGGCCCCAATGCCACATCCAGCAATAACGATACCCACACATGCTGACATGTCTTCCAGCAGCACAGCCATCATAAACGGATCCTTTGTCCGCGTCACATGCTTGTGAAACGACATGTCTTGGGGCTGAGAAGCCCTCAGTTCCTGTGCCGACCGCTTCGACACCCATCCGTCAATGCCAAAAGAAGCTGCTAGCACATCCCACACTTCCCACGAAAGAAAAGGCTCTTTCGGAGGATCCAAGAGCGACTGGATCCCGTGGACAACCGTCACCCCAGAACCTAACCAGAAAATGCCAGCGCAGAGATGAGCGACCAAAAGTACGCAGCACGTGTGTATCCATATTGGTGCTTTTTATGCGGCACACCCGATGCTTGCTTCAACCCCAAGATCAGAATCGCCTGGTTGCCAGTGTCCACGAGCGAGTGAATTGCTTCCGAGAGCATGCATTCGAGCCCGTCTTGAGCCACACCAGCATCTTGAGCGTCATGACGAGTGTGTTGCCGATCATTGTTCGAAGCTCCACGTCTCGAGACGTCGAACGGCACACTTTACCTGGAAAATAGGCCTGATTCACGTCCGTACGGAGCTTCCGCATAGGGTACGTGGGTTCAACAGCCGTTGTCCGAAACGGCTCTTCCTACTCATTGTCCCCGTCCTCTGGTCCACTTGCTCCATCATCACCACTGCCTTTTGTACCCATCTTCTTCTTCTTCTCCTCCTTCCTCTTCATCTCAGGAGCTTGTTCAGTATCCAAGTCTTGTCCATTAGGGACTGTCGTTGCAAGCCATCGGAGCGAAAGCGACTGCGTCAGCGCGATCGGAACTGAGCAAGGAAAAATGCGACGATGAAGCATCCAAGCGACAGGCAGCGTGTGCACGCTCTATGAACGCCGCAGCGACAACTGTAGCGAGCGCAGCATGTGGCGAGCTTTTGCCAGCCTTGGAAGCCCCGACACGTTAAGTGATGTGGCGCACACCAGTATCCAGCGCGCCTGTGAGTTTTCGACGGGCTTTAGTTTTAGTATTCCATCAAAGAGAGAACAAGAACAAGAGAGAGAGAGAGAGAGAGAGCGCGTTTCGAAGTGCTACGATGCGACTCGTCGATTGTTTTGTCGAAGTTGTTGCCAACAACGTGTTTTTTTGCGATGCAGCATCTGTTGGTGAGGCAGATTTGGAATGGAGACCTCGTGTACTGTGCTTGATTTCGCATCACCCCTTCTTTTCGCTTTTCAGCTGTGGCAACGTCACGCCCAGCGGTGTGTGAACAAGTGTGGTCACGAATGGAAACGTCAAGTCACATTGAAGTTTGCAGTGGCCCGGTGCATGAAAGTAGCATTGAGCAAAGGAGAAGGGATAGTGAGCAGACTCGAGCAGGGGATGTGGTCGTATCGGCTTCATTGTAGCATGAAGGCATCCGAGGTGTAAAAGCGAATTCATTGCATGGTAAAAGTATTGACACAGCAACGACTTGTGCATTAATTAATGCATTGTACGTGTAGCAATGGCTGCTACGTTTCTCGATATTGACACAGGACGCGCTCTCGAATCTGATCGGTTGTTTAAGCACATCTTATCCGTAGGTTCCAACGCCGATTGAACACAAGCAAATCCGCACGTCACACGAATCACTACTAAACATCTATCTACTCGTGCCGGTAGTACCTGGACGATCAGCGCCTGTTGTCTTCCGCTCTAATGTCCGTGCAAGCAGTGCCAACGCTCGCGTCATGGCTTCACGCTCGATCGTATGGAAATACTTTGTCTGCACACTCAACACGGCACGCATCTCCGACTCTTTGCTATCAGGCTCCCACTCGATGAAGGCGGCCTCGGGGTAAATGCCGCGAATAACCTCTTCTACTTCTTGCACCTCTTTCTCGACAAGACGAGTCACATCCTCCGCGTACCAAGCAAGCACGAGCGGCAAATCTTTAGTTAGAGCGCTTTAATTATGCAGAGCGTTAGCAAGGGAGAGAGAGAGGAGGGGAGATGGTCTTTACCTCGCGGGGACGCAGTCATGACTGTGCTGACGAGTCAGTTGCTGTGGTGGACACTAAATACGACCTGCTTGCGACGAAGCTCAACATTGGTGTGGACGACGCCAAGCACTAGCTTCTCGTTTGTTTCAAGCAAACAAACGGCTCAAGATGCTGCGTCGGGTGTGGCAGCGAGCAGGTATGTGGCAGTCACCCGACGCGGTTCTATTGCGCCGATTCTGTCAATGCACAGGACTGTGTGCTGCCGCGTCTACAAGATCGGTCCTCGCAACGCGCTTCGGCGCTGCGTCCGCGCGCGCGGTCGCTAGTCAATCAGACGCTGACAAAAAAACGCTCCGCAGTCTGAACCAATTGAACGTTCTATTGCCCAATCAAACGCCGCCCACGACTTTTGTAGCCACTTGTCGCGCGTTGCGCGTCATTGACGAGACGGTGCTATTGGCGACGATTGACGTCCGGACGTGGAACGTGGCACTGCAGCGACGACCGGAGGCTCAAGACGAACGCGGGGCAGCGGAGCTCTTGGGTTTAATCGCGAGTTGTAGTTGCGAAAATGCAAGTGTACCCATGTGGACCGATTTGTTTTTTGCAGTGTGACGACAGCGTTCTTTACGCGGGTTTCGTGCGGATGAGATGCAGGAGCTCTTGAGACAGTTGAAGCGGAGATACGGACCGCAATTTGTAGCCCGCGTGCTCGTAGACGTGGTCATGGCTGTGCCAATATCAAGGTGTTTGCATCTGCTCACGAGCTGCTGCTGTACCAGCAGACGTTGTGGTCGGAGATTCGCGCTGGTACTACTACTCCTACTACTACAGACGAGACATTGCGACGGGGTGGAGCGAGCAGAGTAAAGCGCTGATGCCGCCATCAGTGGTTGGCCACTTGATGGCCAAGATGATGCACAGGAAAAAGCACGGTCAAGTGCTGGCGTTTGCACGCGCGTAGTTTGCTAGTGCTGCGTTCGATCCAGTGCGAGATTTACAGCAACAAGGGTTCCTTGAACTGTTTAAATCAAGTGTGCACACGTAACAGTGTCCGAAATGTGGTGCACGTGTTTTCGGACTATGTGGAGGGAACGTGCCGTGCAGCAGGAGGCAAGGTGGAGAGAGTAAGGACACGAGTGCTCGAGCGAGGCTTTGGAGCTGCGATTCACTGCTGTGTAAAGTTGAAGGAATATTCGCTGGCGTTGCATTGTTATGGAGTGATGGAAAGCACACGAGAGAGGCTCGTTTGTGCTAAGGATGGCTTACCGGTGGACGACGCGATCGACGAAGCTGCAGAGAGGGTTGGCATCGTGGATGAAGTGCTGCTAGCTGATGAAAATATTTACGTCAACGTGTTGAAAGCATGTATGAAGATCGAGGATTTCTCCACGTTTAAAGATGAGTTCCGCGGGATGGTAGCTCGAGGTGTGGCTCGTAGTGCTGGATGTGGGCCAGCGATTCGTTATTGTCACAAGCATTTGGATCCAGTGTTCCATGAAGAAGTGTTGGACGGGGTATTCTGGACAGAGCAGAAGCTTGCAGGTGCCTGGACACTAGAAGTAGAAAACTATAACGATGCGCTTGGATGTTTTGCTGCTACGAATAGACCGGACCAATCCAAGGAGCTGTTCTCGGAAATGCTGAAGAACTCATCGATAGTGCCCGGCATATTACGATGCTTGAGATGGTGGAGATTCTATTATGCATCTCGCGGTGACTGAAGGTTGTGGAAGACGTTTTACGAGACATGGCGAGTCAAGGTGTTGCTACCGACAGGATGTTCTTTGACTACGTCCTCAACGCACTGTACGGGTCGTGCGGTATCGACATGTGTTTCTCGCTCTTGCGTGAGCTGAGTGCAAATGAGCTGGCGATTCCAGACGGACTGTACATCTCGCTGATTGATCTCGGCACCACGATTGGTTTGATTGAGCGCACGGTGTATATTGCGTACAACAAGGAGTGCGAAGGCTACCATCTATCATCGAAGCAGTTGTACGCGTTGATGATGCGTTGTCTCTCGGACGGCAAGATTTTGGAGTTTGTGCGGACGTTTGTGCTGTTACACCAGGGCGTGCCGCCCCAGACTCCGCGCGTTGAGGTGGAAATGTAAGAAGATTTGATATCGGTGCTGACGCAATTCAATCGCAAAAACGAAGTCCCGAAAGTGCAGGAGCTGGCTAGATCAGTGGGGTACACTGATTTGCTTGCATAAGCGTATTTGTTGGTGCGGTTGGCCGTGCTGCGCCACGCCGCGCCGCGCTCAAGGCATGTTTACCCACAAAATGACGGTCCGTATCGTTCTTCTTTCACACGGCATTTCATTATTTTTTGTTTCACCTATGCTAATATCCGGTGTCGACGTATGCTCCAGATGCTTAAGCAGGGGTTGGTACAGCTTTTCGTTGGCTTGAACAGCCCAAAGTCCAAATGGCTAAAAGCTGCTGATCTCTTTCTCATAGACAATTGTGCTGGACGGCAACGCAGATTGTAACTGATCGATGTCAGCTCGAGTGGCGAAGATGTCGTTTCCACCAGTAAATAATTCAGTGCAAGGGTACTCCATGCTGCTAATGGGAAAATCTGGTGGGCCAAAGCTGCCGTACTTGACTTTGTTGGTGCACCTGTTTTCGGACACAGGTGAATGTCAAGCATGCGAGGACATCTGCAGCCATAGTCGGACGCTGAAAAGGTGTTGTCGCGGATTCTTTGGGCATAATGGTGCACAGTCTTGACGGAGGTTCCTGAGGGCACATCTGAAGCGTAATCGCCTGTACGAGACGCGTTCAAGTTCTCCGTAGATTTGACTACGAGTGCAAACCCCGAGGCGCACAACTCCGGACCCATGTGACATGCAGCCGGTCGGATGTCGTAGCGACGCGTTTTGCGAAAAGAGCTGGACTTGACCGGAGGCCTTGAGGACCTTGTCGAAGTAGGCACGAGCAAGGAGCTTGAACCCGTCCTCGAATCTGTATTGCCTGGCCAGGCAACAGGTCCCAGAGCCGCACAATAGGACACGGATCGAGCGAGGGTCTGGTTTTTGCAGCAAACGCAACGAATGCCTGAGTTGACCCCTGCGAATACCCTACAAGAGCCAGTGTCTCCCGTCCCGACGTCTCCAGAGCATAGTTGAGCGTTGCTGGCACGTTAAACCGCCCCTGTCTTTCCATGAAAAGGCCCAGAACGCAGTGTCTTTGGTCGTGTACTTAGCGTGGCTGGACGAGTACGTATTGCCGCGATTATTCCCAAGCCAGACATCGTAGCCAGCATCAGCAAGCACGTAGGCGAGACTGCGGTTCCGGGAGTCGCACACCCATGCGAAACTACTGGCCACCATTTCATGCTGGACGAAAACAGCTGGCTTGTTTCGGTCTGCCTTGTCGTTGTCGGTGGCATCTGCTTGGCTTTCTTCGTACGACATTGGCAAGCGATGCATGGAGAGGATGTATCCATCTATTGTCGTGACTTTGTGCGTCTCCACTACGTGGCCACGCGCTTGAACGAGCTCAACAGTGGACTTCCCAGCATCTGGATCGAGGTCTAGCTCAGCTGCCGTGACTTTGTCGAAGTGCAAGAGCGAGTGAGTCAAAGCAAGCAGCGCGAGTTCCGAGCACAGGACCACGAGAGCTTTGTCTCGAGATGAAAAACCTCCCGCAGTGTCGACAGGATGACGTTTACGATAATGAATGTGCGGCACCAAATCACGCAAAACCGAAGAGTACACAGCACATATTCGTGCACTTTCGTTCGCCTTCTGTCTTGTGGTCTTCCTTGGCGTCTCCTTTGTCATTTGCACCTCACCAGTTGTCGTCCCCTTTACTGCCGCCGACTTTCCATCATTAGACTGCTACAAGAGCTCGATGATCCATTCGATTGGGCGAGCAGCACCTCTGCTCAACGTCCGCTTTGTAACCGTCATCGTAATCATCAAGTTGATTACTCGTGTCGTTTCGTTCACTGCCATAATCAGCCCAAGGGCTCGTCTGCTGCTGCGCGCGACTTGAGACCGTGTTTTCTGTCGAAAATGCCACATGTGTACGCATTTCAATCAAAAATAGAATCCGAGGTGATAGGACGTCAAAGATAGTGACTGAATGCAGAGATTGTGACTGAATGCATAGAGTGCTGACTGAACGTAGAGAGTGCTGACATAATACAGAGAGTGCTGGCAGGAGATGACGTTGTGCAGGTGTTTATTGTACTTATTTGTATCACAATTTATAGGTCAGGTAGGTAAAGATGACGTGAGCCATGTAGTCGGTCTTGGGACGAGGTACATGAGATGACCAGACCTCAGTATAGAAGAACAAGTAAGAGACTGCAGGAAGTATGGACGCTTGACAGGTTGAACAAGCATGGCGAGTATGCCTGCTTGGTGAGAGAAATGCGTACTTACCCGCACGTCGCAGACTCGGGTCGGTGCATCTCACGGGTCGGAGCAAAGGCATGAGCGAGGACGACTTCATTCTGAAAACATCGACTTCAGCAACACTTGAGTCTACAACACAATCGCGTTCACAACTTCACCAGCTTGAATGATCATGGTGAGTGCATGATTCATTTTTCGATCTATCATTTGATTTGTTGCTGACGTTTCTCTTCTGTGTGCATGTGTTTACTAGTGGATTACTATGGAGATCCAGAACTTGTACAACCTCGTTGAAGAGAGTATCCGCCATGTACTGAGTGTGCTGTCGGAGATTGCTTCCAAAGCATGCGGCATCTACGAGAAGAGCGTTAGTCCCACTGATTGGGACTTCAACCAGCTCACCAAGCTGCGCTCAAGTGATGAGAAGCACTGCACCATTGGGTATAGCCACGCACTACGCCCGCTAAAGGGAGCAAGCAGGCACAACGAGTGCCATGCTACCCAAGCAGGTACGGCAGATGCCCACCCGGCGAACAGGTTCAAGTTGAAGCCTATTTGCAACGAGATCAATACCAAGGAGTTCTTACAGCTCGTTGCTACTCGCGATCCTGATGAAGATGGTGAAGATAGGACATGGTACAGCCGGACACTGCTCCATTTAAAGAACAAGCGCCAACGCCAATTGAGCCACTACGATCGAGCCGATTCGATTTGTTCGACCAACTCAAGTGTTGACTAGTTTACACTTACAATGTCTTAGCCGTAGTCTAGCGATAAACGTTTTTAATATATCTATCTGTTAAACATGGTTCGCGACTTTGTTGATGTTAACAATAAAAGCATAATCTAGAAACATGCGCAGTCACAGCAACAATACTCTGCACGAATGCGACAGCCTTCTGTAAACGCGCATCTATTATCTTATTCAGCTAAACTCGTCTAATTCGCTTCTACAGCTGCAAGTCGATCCGGCTGTAGCGACACAGCTGACACTTACTTAACGCCAGGTCCACGCCAGTAAGATTCACGTTCATCCGCACGTTCGTGGTAGTCAGTGCTTCAGATGTAAAAGTAAGTCACGATCAGCGGGGTGCGGACAAGTGGTCACGAATGGAAACGTCAAGTCATATTGAAGCCTCTGGCAGCCTGGCGCGTGAAAGTAGCGTTGAGCAAAGGGGAAGGGATAGTGAGCAGACTCGAGCAGGGGATGTGGTAGTATTGGCTTCATTGTAGCATGAAGGCACCCGAGGTGTAAAAGTGAATTCATTGCATGCTAAAAGTACTGACGCAGCAACGACTTGTGCATTGGTTCATGCATAATTCGTGTAGCAATGCCTGCTACGTTTCTCGATATTGACACAGTACGCGCTTTCGAATTGGTTGTTGAAGTACATCTTAGCCGTAGTTTATAATGCCGATTGAACACAAGTAAATCCACACTTCACACGTACCACTACTAAGCATTTATTCACTCGTGCCAGTAGTAGCTGGACGATCAGCTCCTGTTGTCTTCCGCTCTAATGTCCGTGCAAGCAGTGCCAACGCTCGCGTGATGGCTTCACGCTCGCTCGTACGGGAAGACTTTGTCTGCACACTCAACACGGCACGCATCTCCGACTCTTTGCCATCAGGCTCCCACTCGATGAAGGCGGCCTCGGGGTAAATGCCGCGAATAACCTCTTCCACTTCTTGCATCTCTTTCTCGACAAGACGAGTCACATCCTCCGCGTACCAAGCAAGAATGAGCGGCAAACCCTTTTTAAAATCTGTTGTCTCTAAAAACAACGGCTTGTACCTACCCAGGCCAAGACAAACAAACACACGTCGTTAGTACCGAAGAATGAGCAGGACAAAACGAATCATGACGCTTGCATTCGCAGCAGTTTCGCCGCCAAGAACGTCCCATCGAAGTCAACTTCAGCCTAGGACAGGCCAAAAGTATTACACAGGTCAGACCTAACATAAATGGCGGTACAAGTCGCGCTGTCCTGCCGTCACACCTTGTAACTAAATGTCGATGGCCCGACCCACTGTGAATGGATAGCATAGACGTTGTCAATGGACGGACGCGCCAGCAGTAGCTCGCGGATGACATTCTCGATTTCCGGTTCCACTCACTGGCCCAGTAAATACTTCTGATTCATTCGAATGAGCGATACTGCAGCACCGCCAAGAAGCACGCCAATCGATACACTAGCGAGACTGTCCCACAACGGGTTGCCTGTAATGTGGCTGGCCCCAATGCCACATCCAGCAATAACGATACCCACACATGCTGACATGTCTTCCAGCAGCACAGCCATCAGAAACGGATCCTTTGTCCGCGTCACATGCTTGTAAAACGACATGTCTTGGGGCTGAGAGGCCCTCAGTTCCTGTACCGACCGCTTCAGCACCCATCCGTCAATGCCAAAAGAAGCTGCTAGCACATCCCACACTTCCCACGAAAGAAAAATCTCTTTCGGAGGATCCAAGAGCGACTGGATCCCTTGGACAACCGTCACCCCAGAACCTAACCAGAATATGCCAAGCGCAGAGATGAGCGATCCAAAGTACGCAGCACGTGTGTATCCATATTGGTGCTTTTTATCCGGCACACCCGATGCTTGCTTCAAGCCCAAGATCAGAATCGCCTGGTTGCCAGTGTCCACGAGCGAGTGAATTTGCTTCCGAGAGCATGCATCCGAGCCCGTCTTGAGTTACATCAGCACCTTGAGCGTCATAACGAGTGTGTTGCCGACCATGGACCGAAGCTCCACGTCTCGAGACGTCGAACGGCACACTTTACCTGGAAAATAGGCCTGATTCACGTCCGTACGGAGCTTCCGCATAGGGTACGTGGGTTCCACAGCCATTGTCGAAAACCGCTCCTCCTCCCTATTGTATCCATACTCTTGTCCACTTGCGCCGTCATCACCACTGCCTTTTGTACCCATCTTCGTCTTCTTCTCCTCCTCCTTCCTCTTCATCTCAGGAGCTTGTTCAGTATCCAAGTCTTGTCCATTAGGGACTGTCGTTGCAAGCCATCGGAGCGAAAGCGACTGCGTCACCGCGATCAGAACTGGACAAGGCAACATGCGACGATGAAGACACATCCAAGCGACAGGCAGCGTGTGCACGCTTTATGAACGCCACAGCGACAACTGCAGCGAGCGCAGCAGGTGACGAGCTATTGCCAGCCTTGGAAGCCCCGACACGTTTAGTGATGTGGCGTACACCAGTATCCAGCGCGCCTGCGAGTTTTCGACGGGCTTTAGCTTTAGTATTCCATCAAAGAGAGAACAAGAACAAGAGAAAGAGAGAGCGCGCGTTTCGAAGTGTTATGATGCGACTCGTCGATTACTTTGTCGAAGTTGTTGCCAGCAACGTGTTTTTTTGCGATGCAGCATCTGTTGGTGATGCAGATTTGGAATGGAGACCTCGTGTACTGTGCTTGATTTCGCATCACCCCTTCTTTTCGCTTTTCAGCTGTGGCAACGTCACGCCCAGCGGGGTGTGAACAAGTGTGGTCACTAATGGAAACGTCAAGTCACGTTGAAGTTTGCAGTGGCCTGGTGCATGAAAGTAGCATTGAGCAAAGGGGAAGGGATAGTAAGCAGACTCGAGCAGGGGATGTGGTTTCATTGTAGCCTAAAGGCACCCGAGGTGTAAAAGTGAATTCATTGCATGCTAAAAGTACTGACGCAGCAACGACTTGTGCATTGGTTCATGCATAATTCGTGTAGCAATGCCTGCTACGTTTCTCGATATTGACACAGTACGCGCTTTCGAATTGGTTGTTGAAGTACATCTTATCCGTAGTTTCCAATGCCGATTGAACACAAGTAAATCCACACTTCACACGTACCACTACTAAGCATTTATTCACTCGTGCCAGTAGTAGCTGGACGATCAGCGCCTGTTGTCTTCCGCTCTAATGTCCGTGCAAGCAGTGCCAACGCTCGCGTCATGGCTTCACGCTCGCTCGTACGGGAAGACTTTGTCTGCACACTCAACACGGCACGCATCTCCGACTCTTTGCTATCAGGCTCCCACTCGATGAAGGCGGCCTCGGGGTAAATGCCGCGAATAACCTCTTCTACTTCTTGCACCTCTTTCTCGACAAGACGAGTCACATCCTCCACGTACCAAGCAAGCATGAGCGGCAAATCTTTAGTCAGAGCGCTTTAATTATGCAGAGCGTGAGCAAGAGAGAGAGAGAGGGGGGAGATGGTCTTTACCTCGCGGGGACGCAGTCATGACTGTGCTGACAAGTCAGTTGCTGTGGTGGACACTAAATACGACCTGCTTGTGACGAAGCTCAACATTGGTGTGGACGACACCAAACACTAACTTCTCGTTTGTTTCAAACAAACAAACGGCTTGAGATGCTGCGTCGGGTGTGGCAGCGAGCAGGTATGTAGCAGTCACCCGACGCGGTTCTATTGCTCCGTTGCTGTTAATACACAGGACTGTGTGCTGCCGCGTCGACAAGATCGGTCCTCTTCCCGCGCTTCGGCGCTGCGTCCGCGCGCGCGGTCGCCAGTCAATCAGACGGTGCCGAAAAAACGCTCCGCAGTCCGAACCAATTGAACGTTCTATTGTCCAATCAAACGCCGCCCACGAATTTTGTAGCCACTTGTCGCGCGTTGCGCGTCATTGACGAGACGGCGCTATTGGCGACGATTGACGTCCGGACGTGGAACATGGCACTGCAGCGACGACCGGAGGCTCAAGACGAACGCGTGGCAGCGGAGCTCTTGGGTCTAATCGCGAGTTGTAGTTGCGAACATGCAAGTGTACCCATGTGGACCGATTTGTTTTTTACAGTGTGACGACAGCGTTCTTTACGCGGGTTTCGAACGGATGAGATGCAGGAGCTCTTGAGGCAGTTGAAGCGGAGATACGGACCGCGATTTGTAGCCCGCGTGCTCGTAGACGTGGTCATGGCTGTGCCAGTATCAAGATGTTTGCAGCTGCTCACGAGCTGCTGCTGTACCAGCAGACGTTGTGGTCGGAGATTTGCTCTGGTACTACTACTCCTACTACTACAGACGAGACGTTAACGACGGGGTGGAGCGAGCAGAGTAAAGCGCTGATGCCGCCATCAGTGGTTGGCCACTTGATGGCCAAGATGATGCACAGGAAAAAGCACGGTCAAGTGCTGGCGTTTGCACGCGCGTAGTTTGCTAGTGCTGCGTTCGATCCAGTGCGAGATTTATAGCAACAAGGGTTCCTTGAACTGTTTAAAGCAAGTGCGCACACGTAACAGTGTCCGAGGAATGTGGTGCACGTGTTTTCGGACTATGTGGAGGGAACGTGCCGTGCAGCAGGAGGCAAGGTGGAGAGAGTGAGGACACGAGTGCTCGAGCGAGGCTTTGGAGCTGCGATTCACTGCTGTGTAAAGCTTGATGAATATTCGCTGGCGTTGCATTGTTATGAAGTGATGGAAAGCACACGAGAGAGGCTCGTTTGTGCTAAGGACGACTTACCGGTGGACGACGCGATCGACGAAGCTGCAGAGAGGGTTGGTATCGTGGATGAAGTGCTGCTAGCTGATGAAAATATATACGTCATCGTGTTGAAAGCATGTATGGAGATCGAGGATTTCTCCACGTTTAAAGATGAGTTTCGCGGGATGGTAGCTCGAGGTGTGGCTCGTAGTGCTGGATTCGGGTCAGCGATTCGTAATCGTCACAAGCATTTGGATCCAGCGTTCCATGAAGAAGTGTTGGACGTGGTATTCTGGGCAGAACAGAAGCGTGCAGGTGCCTGGACACTAGAGGTAGAAAACTATAACGATGCGCTTGGCTGTTTGCCGCTACGAATAGACCGGACCAAGCCAAGGAGCTGTTCTCGCAAATGCTGAACAACTCGTCGATAGTGCCCGGCATATTACGATGCTTGAGATGGTGGAGAGTCAGTGCAACGCCTCGATCGAGGAGGTGTTTAATCTCATGGACGTGTTTCTTGAGTGGAAGCGAACATCGAATCTTCAGGTGTTCACATCGCTGCTGTATATCTACATGTGCCGTCGTGAAGTAGGCAATGCTGTTGCGCTCATTGGTGCGATGGGAGAGCATGGTATCGTTCAGGATGTGAAGGCATTCACGACTGTGGCGTTCTATTGTGCATCCCGCGGTGACTTGAAGGCTGTGGAAGACGTTTTACAAGACATGGCGAGTCAAGGTGTTGCTACCGACAGGATGTTCTTTGACTACGTCCTCAACGCACTGTACGGGTCGTGCGGTATCGACATGTGTTTCTCGCTCTTGCGTGAGCTGAGTGCAAACGAGCTGGCGATTCCAGACGGGCTGTACATCTCGCTAACTGATCTCGGCACCATGATTGGTTTGATTGAGCGCACGGTGCATATTGCGTACAACATGGAGTGCGAAGGCTACCATCTCTCGTCGAAGCAGTTGTACGCGTTGATGATGCGTTGTCACTCAGACGGCGAGATTTCGGAGTTTGTGCGGACGTTTGTGCTGTTACACCAGGGCGTGCCGCCCCAGACTCCGCGCGTTGAGGTGGAAATGTAAGAAGATTTGATATCGGTGCTGACGCAATTCAATCGCAAAAACGAAGTCCCGAAAGTGCAGGAGCTGGCTAGATCAGTGGGGTACACTGATTTGCTTGTTTAAGCATATTTGTTGGTGCGCTTCGCTGTGACGCGCTCAAGGCATATTTACCCACAAAATAACGGTCCGTATCGTTCTTCTTTCACACGGCATTTCATTGTTTTTTGTTTCACCTATGCTAATATCCGGTGTCGACGTACTGCTCCAGATGCTTAAGCAGGGGTTTGTATAGCTTTTCGTTGGCTTGAACAGCTCAAACAAAGTCCAAATGGCTAAAGCTGCTGATCTCTTTCTCATAGACAATGGTGCTGGACGGCAACGCAGATCGTAACTGATCGATGTCAGCTCGAGTGGCAAAGATGTCGTTTCCACCAGTAAATAATCCAGTGCAAGGGTACTCCATGCTGTTAATGGGAAAATCTGGTGGGTCAAGGCTGCCGTACTTGACTTTGTTGGTGCACCTGTTTTCGGACACAGGTGAATGCCAAGCATGCGAGGACATCTGCAGCCATAGTCGAACGCTGAAAAGGTGTTGTCGCGGATGCTTTGGGCGTAGTGGCGCATGCTCTTGACGGAGGTTCCTGAGGGCACATCTGAAGCGGAATCGCCTGTACGAGATGCGTTCAAGTTCTCCGTAGATTTGACTACGAGTGCGAACCCCGAGGCGCACAACTCCGGACCCATGTGACATGCAGCCGGTCGAATGCTTTTTTGTAGCGACGCGTTATGCGAAAGAGCTGGACTTGACCGGAGGCCTCGAGGACCTTGTCGAAGTAGGCACGAGCAAGGAGCTTGAACCCGTCCTCGAATCTGTATTGCCTAGCCAGGCGACAGGTCCCAGAGCCGCACAATAGGACACGGATCGATCGAGGGTCTGGTTTTTGCAGCAAACGCAACGAATGCCTGAGTTGACACCTGCGAATACCCTACAAGAGCCAGTGTTTCCCGTCCCGACGTCTCCAGAGCATAGCTAAGCGTTGCTGGCACGTCAAACTGCCCATGGCTTCCCATGAAAAGTCCCAGAACGCAGTGTCTTTGGTCGTGTACTTAACGTGGCTGGACGAGTACGTATTGCCGCGATTATTCCCAAGCCAGACATCGTAGCCAGCATCAGCAAGCACGTGGGCGAGACTGCGGTTCCGGGAGTCGCACACCCATGCGAAACTACTGGCCACCATTTCATGCTGGACGAAAACAGCTGGTTTGTTTCGGTCTGCCTTGTCGTTGTCGGTGGCATCTGCTTGGCTTTCTTCGTACGACATTGGTAAGCGATGCATGGAGAGGATGTATCCATCTATTGTCGTGACATTGTGCGTCTCCACTACGTAGCCACGCGCTTGAACGAGCTCAACAGTGGACTTCCCAGTATCTGGATCGAGGTCTAGCTCAGCTGCCGTGACTTTGTCGAAGTGCAAGAGCGAGTGAGTCAAAGTAAGCAGCGCGAGTTCCGGGCACAGGACCACGAGGGCTTTGTCTCGAGATGCAAAACCTTCCGCAGTGTTGACAGGATGACGTTT